CATGTATCAGTAGGATGATCAGAAGAGGTACAAATACCACATAAACTTGGTGGTGTTTGAAGTTGTTGGGTGGCTTGAGCCTTACCTACGACTATCATCTGCTGCACTAAATCCCTCAGCTCATTCATTCTATTTTCGAAGGCTTTGTCGGAGTGAGACACATGAGAGGAAACATGAATTTCGTTCACACCCTTTACTTGGACAGAATTATTTCTTGTTGTGAACTGTTGGGAATTTAGTGACATGTTCTCAATTAGAGCCTTGGCAGCAGCTGGAGTCTTATCAACAAGAGCTCCACCGCTGGCAGCATCAAGAATGTTCCTATCCATCGGTAACAACCCCTCATAAAAGTACTGAATGAGTAGTTGCTCGGTGATCTGGTGTTGAGGACAGCTGGATACCAAATGCTTGAATCTCTCCCAATACTCTGCAAGTGACTCATTACCCTGTCTAATACCACAAATCTCTTTTCTTATCGAGGCAGCTCTGGAGGCAGGAAAGTATCTCTCAAGGAACACTTTTTTCAGAGCATTCCAGTTTGCAATTGAATTTGGCTCGAGGGAATATATCCAATCCTTTGCTGCACCCTGCAATGAAAAAGGAAAAGCTCGAAGTTTGATATGATCTTCAGTGATCCCTTCAGGCTTCAGTGGCGTAGAACACACCACTTGGAATTCTTTCAGATGTTTGTGAGGATCTTCACCTGCAAGACCACTAAACTTGGGCAACAAATGGATTAAACCCGATTTTAACTCAAAAGGCACAGCATCAGCAGCATACTCAATACACAAACCATTGTAATTCACATCAGGTGCAGCTAACTGCCTTAATGTTCTATCATCAGCCATGTGTGGTGAACTAGCCTGGACTGTTCTACGTCGTGTGTGCAAAGTTCTCTCTACTTCAGGATCAAAAGCAACAATATCAGAACAAGATGACCTAGTTGCCAGGACTAATGCACAGCAATGCAGGGACAATACTCAAAATGCCAACAATGTCCCTAAAAGTCAAAAAAACAAACACAAAGAAGCAAATCGATCAAAATAAATCCAGAAAAATTAACTAACACCAGAATTGGTCTAATGGCTTAAAAATATAATTATGAGAATTTTTTCGATTTTTTTCGACTCTATGAAAACAGTAAAAAATTCATTAAAAATAGAAAAAAGGATTTTTTGGCGATTCTGAGGGTGGATTCCAGGTATTCCTTTGGAATACATGGACTAATGACCGGACGATTTTTTTGCTTCTCGTAGGCAAAACAGTTTTACGATCGAACACAATTTTTCCCAAAACAGATTTTTTTACGATTTGGACTATAAGACGCGAATTGGACGAAACCACGAGGAAACTAAGGTCTAGACTCGAGGATACTAACTAACCCTATGACTCTAAAATTGATTAATAACAACAAGAATCCCCGGCAACGGCGCCAATTTGATCCGCGGTCGCTCGCGGATCAAAAACGAGTAATTTTATAAAAATGCAGTACAGCGACAGTGACTCGGAATATCGTTCTCACAAGGATTCTTGTAGTGATTAACCAATTACAGTAATGAAATAAAAAGGGGGTTTTTGGTTCGATTAGGGAAGAGTAATTAACAAGAGTAATTTTCGAAATAAGTTGTTATGAAGAAAATTGATTATGAAATAAGTCAATCTACCGATTCGGTTCCTACTATCATTGATTATTATAATATTGATCTTCTAAGTGTCATTCCTATCTGGATGCAAACTCAATGGCAAGCGCAAAAATGTTTGTAAGATTTATGATCCTAATGTCCGAATTAAGCAAACGGGATAAAACTTCATGAATTAAGCAAACATGATTGTTCAGACACACAAACGAATTAAGCAAACGTAAACGTGTCTATGCCTAGGACCATACAATCAACCAAATTAAATCAATAATATCATGCAATCGAATTAAGCATACAAGAACATAAAATTATTGAACGGATTTAACAAATAGTAATAATATTATAATAATCTCAAGTGTTGGAACCTGAATTACGGTAGACCGACTCAGAGGGATTAGTTCTCCATAGGATTCGTAAAAGCTTCAAGGTTTTTTTCTCGTGAATAGTAGGTAATGTGAACAGTAACACGATTTCTCTTTAAAAAGGAAAATAATGGATCAAAACCCAACTGGGTCAAAAATATAACCCAGGCCCAAAACATCAAAACTAAAATAAAATTCTAATGCTGTAACTTGAAACGGAAATCTGGAATTTTGAGCTCCGAATCTGACTTCGACTCCAACACGAAAGTTGTAGCTCTCTCTCTTAGCTTTCCGGCGATATTTAGAACGCCTCAATCGGATTCCCGGAACTCCAGTTATGATCGTTTCCGTGCAGACTGCTAAAGCTGAAAAATAGTTGCGAAAATTAAATTAAATCAAAAATAAAATAAAATAAGAAAACATGATAAAATATAATAATAAGCAAAATAACATAAAGAAATGCCTAAGTAAAAATGTAGGAGAATGTGCATAAATATGCACTGATCAGTCATCTTCGTTGCTCCTGAGTGGTGATCATGGTGGTGAGTAGTCGTACCTTTCTCGTAGAGGACTTTCATCATGGCGCAGTGGAGATTTCTTTGGTCGGCTTTTAAGTTTTCGGGGGCGTGACCGACGGTTATCAGGTCGTCTGCCGACCTTGTTCTTTTTGGAAGTCGAGGAGATGTGGTCCTCACAGGGAAGAGTGCGGTTGCACTTCAGGGGATGTGGCCTCTTCAACTGTGGTCAATGTTCTGGTCGTTGTGGCGATGTGATGTGAGACTCGTACCGTTGATGTCTCTGCGAGGGAGAACGTGGACGACGATAACTTTCCAGCGCTCGATCTTCTCGTATGCTGATGAATCAGGGCATTGGTCTGGTTGAGGGCCGCAACCAGTGCTGCCATGGTGGGGTCGGCCTTGGTCGCCACTGAGATCGGTTGGAACTTCTCCGCTGCCTTCTTTGGAGCCTTCTGGATTTTCTTGGTTTCAACATACTAGACTTCATCGTTAGTCGCCTCGTCGAAAAAGGGGGAATCGGTTTGTCCGTCACTCTTTGTTGGAGTGATGTCCTCCAGGACCGACATACCATTGTCGTTGTCAGTGTCATGGAGGAGAGTGAAGGCAGTTTTCGTGACCGCTGTTGTCGTGTTGATCAGTCATGATTGGTAGGTTTTGAGAAATTTTCTTTGATCATTGGTTTCAAGGAAAGAAAGATGGGGGAACAAAGGTTCCCACAGAAGGCACCACTCATCTTACCGGTGATCAGAAGTAAACCGGTGGTCAGCAACACGCCGTAGTTTTCAACATCAAGTGAGAAAAAGGGGGGAGTGTACTTGCAAGGCACTCCGATGCTAAAGTCAGGTCAAAGTGAAAGAAGGCAAGTACAAAAGTTAAGAAGTGAATTGAATACGTGACCCTCCTTCAAAGGAAGGTATTTATAAAGCCCTCAGCGCTGGGCCAACGGTCTCCATTATGGGCTGGGTGACCAGGCCCATAATGGATGACTGCCAGTATTTTTACGTGGAAGTAGGGACGAGAAGCTCGTGCTCATCATCCTGGGTCAACTGCCCCGCATTCTCCGGAGTGGAAGACCTGCCTGTTACGAAGGGCACGACGTTTTTGCAAGGTGAGCGGGATCAGTTGGTCACGTGTCCTCAGGTGAGGAGCATGTGGGAAACGTGCTCTTCGGCGACTATAACGAATTGGGCCTTTGTGTTGGGCCTACGACGCAGAGTTGTATCAGGATGCGCCCGATTGTGGACCAGCCCCAAACCCAGTCCAGAAGTGTGTGTGTGTGTGTGTGTATATATATATATATATATATATATATATATATATATATATATATATATATATATATATATATATATATATATATATATATATATATATATATATTAATTTGATAGTTTTATTAATTTTATAATTTATTTATATTTTAATGGATCATTTTTGTATATACATGTATTTAATATTTAACATTTATATTTTGAAAACAAATACATATTATTGATAATAGATATAATCAGAGAGAAAAGTGTATCTATAAATTTAAATATTGTCTAATATTTTAAGACAAACAAATTTTCAAAAAAGATACATATATTTTTTTAAAAATTAAAAGAGGTCTTATAATTACAAAAAAATTATTTGTTTTTTTTTTATTTTTAATATTTGATATAATTTTTTTTCCAGATCTAATTTTGAGTGAATAAAATAGTTGAAAACCCGGATTAAAGTTAAAATAAATTGTATTTAAGTATTTGATGGTGCATGAATTTTTTTATTTCTTCCTTTCTTTATTTTATTTATCTATTTTGACTTGATATAAAAAATATTTGTTTTGTACATTTATGAGAAACTCAAAATATCAATATGTGGTTTATAAAATATTAGCATAAAAAAATATTTTAAAAAAAGTCAATAAATATACAAAAATAATAGGTCTCAAATTTAATTATAAGAATATAAAATGCATTGAATTCAAATAAATATAATATTTCTTCTTGATACTTCTTCTATTCCCTTATATTTCTTTCTTTAAAATTTAAACCATAAATGATAATTAAAAGTATTAATTAAATCTTTTAAATAAAAAAAACAAAATATTTTGAATACATGTAACAATGAGTTGATTTTTTATCAAAAACTTTGTATCATTGTTTTTTTCATGTTTTACTCAATATTGTTTCTTCATGTTCTACTCAATAGTCTTTTTATAATAAAATTTATGTAATAATATATCTAAAAAATAAATGTTTTTAGTCTAAATTTTGAAATAAATCCATATTACGCCTTTTGTTTATATTTTATTGCAAAGATTTATTCTATGTATAGAAAAAAAAACCTAAAATTTATTGACTATTTCTTAACCTGAAAATGTTCTATAAAATGTGAACTATGGTGTATGTTCAAGCACTCATTTACCAATAGAGGTCTCATTTACACACCTCTATTTTTCAAATTGTTTCTCTCTAATAGTCACAATTTTCATTTTAATGGAAAGTTGGATAGTTAGAAAGAAGAGAACTATCACGAGAAGGACGCCTAAGTCCTTCTTCAACAAGCTCCCGACAGAGCTTCAATCAAATATATTTTCTAAATTATCTTTAGAGGAACAATCAAATTCCATGTGTGTCTCACATCAATGGCGAAATATAATATTGAATACAACTTTACCAAAGGAGGGTCCATTGCTACCATTTGTGGTTGCTCACAATTTCCTACCAAATCCATGTAGGGAATTGCAAAATATATTTCGTTGGTGTTCATTAGTTATGCATTGCGAAACAAGACCCAAAAAACTATTAGACACATGCAATGGGTTATACTTGTTTTGTCACAACAATGGTAGGGCTCCAAACATCATTCATGATGTGTATTATTATTATGTCATAAATCCTAAAACCAAACAATGTGTGGCTGTTCCAAAGTCTATAGGTCAAAAGTCGGGAAGTTATTCCTATGCTGTTCTGGCGTATGACCCTAAAGAATCCAGATTCTTTAAGATCGTGCGTTTTCAAGGTCATCGTCATATCAACATTTTCTCTTCTATGACAGGTCTCTGGACTACTTTGACTATTAATTTACCTCAACATATTAATAAGTCCAAATGGCTCCAAAAATCAATTTATATAAAAGGATCAATTTACCGACTCTCTAGATCTGGACATCTAGTTAGAATTAAAGTTGATCTGCAAGAGGATGTTTCAAAACAAACTGAGATAATACCACTACATTCTGATTGTCATTTGGATGGTTGTGGATGGGAGATAAGTTCCAAAGACGACAAACTCATGTTAGTCTTAAGTAGGGGGCTGAATTTTTGGCTTTTTGAACTCATAGAATGTGTTACAAGAAATTCAACCTCTTACACATGGGACATGATTTTTCACATAGAGAATGAAGAGTTCTTGCCTCTTAATACCTATGGTGAATTGTTATCCTATCATCCTTACCATGATTTGGTATTTTTCAAGCGTGGATATCACGTCTATTTTTACTTAGATGAGTTCACTGGAAACTACTACACAAATTTTGGGATTGTGGAATACAACAAAACTGTTTATGATTACGTAAGAAATTGTGGACAACCTTTGCTTGATTGCTCTGTCCCTTTTGCTTGCATTTTGGATAAGAAGGTAATAAATTGCACTTATTATATTTCCTTTTAATTGCTTTTTTTATGGGTCAATGCTAACCAGTGCTCTCAGAGTATTAGTTAAAAATTTCAAATAAGAAAAATATGTTATATTTAGTTCACTCAATACACACAATATTCTTTAAAAAATCTAATTGTTTGTCTTTTCAGGGCATTGAATACACATATATTTAAAAAAAAATTTATTTTCAATCTCTTAAATAATGTCCAACTTACCATTTTAATCTCTTAACCAATGTCGTGAGGGCACTAGTTAGCATTTTCCTTTTTTATATGACCAAAGTATTTGTTAGGGTTTGATTACGTTTTAGCCACGAAGCAAATAAATTGTTGCATATCTAATCTATGAAATAAATCCATGAGATATTGCTAGCTTCTCATAAATCCAACAAAATAGATCGTATTTTAATATCATAAAAGTTCAGTTGCATGAATAGATATTGGACTCCAATATTTGCTTTTTAAATATGTATAAAGTTTTTAATATTACAAACTGAACTTACATCATATTAGTTACGTATATATTATGATTTTAAGATTTCTATCTTTTTTTCTCTAATTTACAGGATCCAGGAGATTTTCTTCGACTCCCAGTTCCACACTGAAGGGTAACTATTATATATATATTATACATCCTTCATTTCTTATTATAAATAAATATTAATTTTTTAAATTTATTGAATAAAATATATTTAAATATATATAAATTATGTACAATGATTATCAACCCACTTAAAAAGTCAAAATTTATTTAAAATAAATAATGAAGAATAAGCGTACGTGTGTCTATATATATATATATATATATATATATATATATATATATATATATATATATATATATATATATATATATAAATAATTTACTTTAAATTATAATCTATAAATTAAATATAATTTAATAGTTAATTAAGTAAAAAGATTAATTTATTACTATATTATATTCAATTTAAAAGTATGGTTTGAAGTAATACTTTTAAAATAAATTGATTATATATATATATATATTCTCACGAAGGAACTTGTACAACAATGATTTGTTATGCATATTTTGTATTTTAGGAAAGGAAGGCACTATGGCATGAAAGAAAACAATGGACAAAAAGCTCCCTGCTCGTGTTCTGCGCTGTTAGAGATTTAAGACTCTTATTTGGGAATAAATGTCTTATGTTTGACATTTTGGAACATTATAGTTTTTGTTTTTTTATTTCTTCATATTTTATAGTATTACTTTAACTAAGTATTTTTAGTAAATTTTATTGCGGCAAAGTTCGAAGTACTGTCTTTGTTTCAGAATAAATGTGATATTTTAATAAACTACTTATTTTAAAATAAATGTTGCTTTTAATTTTTAATGTAATTTTTCTTTTCTTAATCGTGCCCTTTAATTTTTTATTCTCTCACTTAACCTTAACATTAATAATCATTAGAAAAATTGAAGGGTACAATTATATCCTATTATTTATTTTATCATATTATTTAATAGAAACAGTAAATAAAGATAATATGACAAAGTAGAGATTTTTTCTCTTCTATTATTATTATTATTATTATTATTATTATTATTATTATTTAATCTTTATGAAATATCAAATTCAACTGTTATTTTAGAATATAAAGAGTAACTTATATTAAAATAATCAATAGCTTTTTCAGTCATTTTGAATTATGAGTGCTATTATGAAATATATTTTAATATATTCTTTCAAAATATTTTTTATTTGTTCGTTTTTTTTAGCAATCTCAAGTCTAAACTTCATCTACGAGATACTATTTTCTTTGAACTTAATTTTTTATATTGATTTGTTGTTTAGAAAAAGCGTTTTGTTGAGTTGAATATATATTAATCATATGTTCTTATGATATTAAATATTCATTCCATCTCATAATATTTATCTTTTTATTTTAATTTTTTTAAATTATTTATTCTTTTAAAATATCAATTAATATTTATAATTTTTTTCTATTAATTTATTCTTAGTTATTATATTTTAATTTATATAATTGTTTCACTATCTATTATTAATAAAATTATTTTAATAAATAACATTCATTTTATTATTAAAATTAATTTAATTAATCATTATTTTAAAAAGTGTAAAAATCTAAATAAAAAATAAGAGGGAGAGTATATACTAAGCAAAAGTCACTCCTAAAATCTAATTGTTAAAAATGCTCAAAAGGCAATATGTTAAAGTTTAAAATTAAATATTCAACGAAGAAAATATGTAGATATGCATTAATGATTTTTTCATTTATTAATTAGTAAAAAACATTAGTCATTGACATTTTATAATTGAAGGTGATAAAGAAACACAAGAAAGGGGGGATTGAATTGGGTTTACTCCTTAATAAAATTTTTTCTTTTTCTTATCTTCTTCTTCACTTGATACTTTTATGCGTTTATATTAAATACATTGCAGAAGCATAAATAATAAAGCATAGGTAAAGAACACATCATATATCCTGGTTCACTTGAGCAACTCTCAAGCTAATCCAGTCCACCCTTCCAAGGTGATTTCGCCTTAATCAATTAAGGACTTAATCCACTATAACCGAACTGATTACAGATGCACAAGCTAACTGCAAGTGACTAACAACAAATCAATGAAACATTCAGGGATCTCCAAGGATATAACGTTCATTAACATCTAATAGAATCCGATCACTAAAGATCTCCTATTAGAAAACCACAAATGACTATTGTCACTTGTCATCTCAAGTATATTGATCTTCACAAGATCACTTGAGGTACCACTAATTCTAAAATAGAATGTTGTGTTGCCGGAGATTACAATGGTGCTTCCTAGCAAACTAATTACTCCAAGTTAAGCACATAGCAAGTAATGAGTAACAACTTCTTTCTTCCTAATGCAGAAACTAATCTAATGATGAATCTCTAAGAGATTATAAGAACATAGTTTCCATATTGCTTAAAAGCTTTTCTGTGTGTGAGCACTAAGGCTTCTTTTCATTTTAAGCTTTTCTCCTTTCTTTCTTTCTTCACTTCATGCTTACTAGCATGGTAACATTTGAATGAATCAAATGTTATTTCATATATACCAGCTTAACAGCAACAACGTTGCTTGACTCAGCAACCCAGCCACTCAACAACATTTTTGATCAAATGGTTCTTCTTTTTATATTGCAGCCAATATAGTTGTTGTGAGGATATAGTTGTCCTTTCTTATTCCAACGGTCATATCCCAACGGATAGAATAAGCTCATGTGTTGGAACAGTGACCTTAGCTTGTAGCTTCAATATATTTAATCCTTGGAAACTACGCTTGAACAGTACCAACGTCTTTACCATATTTGAATAATTGCATACGTTGTACTTCAATCTTCTTGATTCTTCTGATGATTCGTCTGATGAGTAGTTCAGAACTACTTTGGTATGAAAGTTTCAGCATCAGAGTTGTTAACTTAAGCACATATTTTATCACATTGAACAACAGCAGCTTATCTGATGTAACACGTCTTGCATCTGGATGAATCTTCTTCTGACACAATCTTCCACTTCAGAATCCAGTCTTCAGCATTCCAAGAACTAAGTTTCCTCTGAAACAATCTTGAGAATCTTCATGACTAATTCTTCAGAAACCATGTCTTTAGAATCTTCAGAGCCTTGACCTTCAGAACACTTCTTCAGAGTCTTGACCTTCAGAACACTTCTTTAGAGTCTTGACCTTCAGAACCTGTCTTCAGAGTCTTGACCTTCAGAACCTGTCTTCAGAGTCTTGACCTTCAGAACAAGTCTTCAGAGTCTTGAGGCACTTGGTCTTCAGAGCCTTCAGCCTTCAGAACTTCAAGTCATCAGAGTCTTCAGCACTTTGTTCTTCAGAGGACTCACTCTTCAGAGACGCTCGTTAGCTACCAGATCAGATGCATAACTCAGAGCAGAATCCATAGATGCATTGTAACTGCAATGTCTAGCATCCTTGATTCTTTACTGAACAGGATCAGATGCATAAACAAACTTGCTTCTTTACTGAGCTTCATTTGCTTTTAGATCAGTTGCACTTCTTCAGAGCAGAAACCACAGGAGCATTGCAACTGCAATATCCAGCACCCTTGGTTCTTTATTGATGGTGATCAGATACATAAGCAAACTAGCTTCTTACAAGCGCTTCATGACGTCACACTAAGTAATTCCATAAGTTACTAGCTGCACACGTTGCTTCTGTTTGTTTGGTCTTAATATATTTAATTTAATATGACATGCACATAACAAACATTAAACCATAAAATGGTTCTTTCACAAATACTCAATTGTTATCATCAAAACATAGAGATTATCCTGTAGAGACAAATCTCGCTTTTACAATAATTCTGTATTTGAATTAAGAAAGTACTTTGCAATAGTCATAATTTAATATATAAATATATTATTTCAAATATTACTTTTCACACAATATAAAATATATAATATTTATTGTATGCTTTTTAAAATACCATAAATACTTATTTAAATATGTTAATATGGAATAATATATTTGAATGAGTCTTAATGATATTTAAAAAGATATGAATAATGAATCATATGTATTTTAAATTTATGAATTATTCATATTTTATTTTTTTTAAAAATGATTTACACTTTATCTTAAATAAAATTTGATTATTTGGTTTTTTACCATTAATATTGAGATATTTTTAAAATATTAAGAAATACTCGGAACATATATTGGAAACATAAAAATAAATTAAATATACCTTCAATACTTATAAAATATATGTTTTTAAAATATAATAATATTTATTGAGTGTTGGTTGTCATAGTGAATAATTATTTTAATAAAATAATAACTTATTTAATATTATTCTTATTTTAAAACTGCTGATTTATAATTGTTGATTTATTATCAATAATTTATTACACTAATATATTATAAAAAAATTAGCTTAAACTATGAACCATGAACTAATAGTTTATACTATTTATCTAGCTTAAACTAGTAGTTTAGCTAGCTTTAAGCTATTCTTCTTCTATTTAACAATAATAATAATATATATATATATATATATATATATATATATATATATATATATATATATATATATATATATATATATATATATATATATATATATATATATATATATATATATATATATATATATATATATATATATATAAATTTATTATTGTTCAAATTATCTTTTAAAAAAAGTCAAATCAGGATAGGAAAAATTAACAAAATAATTTTAGATTAGTGTTTGATATAACACCCTAATTCTCTGACTGAATATTTAATTAAATAATTTAATATAACTCAATAAATAGAGTGCACTAATATTTTACCATAACATTAAAAAACTATAAAAAAAACTTTTAGAAATATCAGAAATAAGCAGCCGAAAATCAATAAGTTTAACATATAAATCTCAACAACAATGAATGAAAAAGTGGTTTAATAATCTTCAAAATAAATAAGCCATACAATAAAAGAAAATATAGAAGAGTTTGTTTCCCAGTGTTATATATCATAGTGACTTTACTAAGACCCGAGCAATAAATAACTAAAAAAGCACAATACCATCCTCTAGCATCAAGTATCTACTCTTCCACCTGATCGTTTATATCCCAGAGGAGTACAAACGC